ATATTTTTATGTTAATCACACTAAACATCTCCATGATAAACTAAATTAAACCAATACCACTATTAATGTGTCTTTATATCTATTTAGCTTTAGCTGCTCAGTTTCAAGGCTACCTTGATTTCTATGTCAGGTGGTGCCATCTAGTGGTAGAAAAAAAATGTTCATACCCTGAAGATACAGGTACAACCTATATAAATGAGTCAAAAAATGTGCAATTCTTCCAAACAAGGCATGACAGGGTCACTTAATGAAATAATGTGAATGATATGCGATGACCTTCACAGTCACCAGATCTCAAACCAGTTAAACAATGCGGTCATTAAGACACCAAACAGGGGACTCTTTTCAGTGGATGGTCAGAGACTTGTAAAAGCTTTGCCACCTTTTTTTCTTTTGTCACTCAGTTGTGTATAAATTAACATGTTAATTACATCATGTGACATAAATGTTAATGTAAAAATAATTAATAAAAAGTACAAATGTAGTTACTTGTGTTGTTGGTTTGAGGACAGGCACACATTTTTGTGATTTATCGCTCTGGAGCTTTACTGTTTTGATTTAGTCTCACTGCTGCTATGTCTACATATAAATAATACACAGACATAAACAAAAAGGATACAAAACAAGGTGTCCTTCAGACATTTTCCTTAATCACAGACACAAGTTATATTACTCTAAGAAGACCACTACAGATAGTCCGCAAAAGAGGTATTTGAAATAAAACAATTTATTGGAGTTATAAATGTGCAGTCTCCGAGCACTGATGTGTTAATAACAAGATCTGTTCAAAGGAGAATAAAACAGATTCCATAAGGAGTCATTTACACCTTTCTTACGTTTTCTCATTAGTAATGACCTCATGTTAAGGTTCAATAGCTTTGTGTTTTTTCTTGTGTTCCCTGTGCGTTGGGTCGTTGAAAAAAATGTAGGCCTCCATTGTGTATGCTTTCCAGCAGTAATGTTATGCAACCACATGGAGTAATATATTGGAATGGAGGTTCAAAATGTGGTCTTAAATGCAGTAACATTCAATAACCAGCAGATGGAGCTCAGACTATACAAGGGACAAAATAAGTAAGTAAGTAAATAAGTATCTGAATCCTACTCATTTATGGCTGACCCAGCACAGGTCCTATCACTGTACTAGATTCAATTAATATTAACCTGTGATTTTTAAAATAAGACAATGATTCAGTCTATATTTGGAACGTTTTAAAACATCCCTTAAACATTTTGTCTGTATTACTGAAATAGAGTCAAGGCGCTGCAATGTAGACCAGTTCAGAGTAATTATGGTGATAATATCTTTGAAGCAGAGATGCCTCACATTCCCTGAAGAAAGCAAAAAGCTATATAACAGCAGCCTGTGTACAGATAAACAGTGGTTGGGTAGAAGAGTAAATGCTTCAAACTTTATCCAGTTAAAACAAAGCCAAAAATGCAAAAAACATCTTGTTGCATGTAAAGCAATTTTTCATCATCAGTTAAGGGGTTTGACATTCCTATTTTCATTTGTTTGGATAAAATAGTATGTAATATATATTATATATTTAATGAATAGAGTGAATATTAAATACCTTTTGAATACAAACTCTATCAGATATCTCTCAAGCTTGTTTGCACTTTGATATCTTATCTCAGATTTTCATCTGAATCTATCAAAAACTGCTGTGTTTTGTTAATCTCAGTTTAATTGTTGGTTTTATGACCCTCACTAAAGTTGTGACAGTGTTCAGTAATGTTCAATAATCTGTTATACTGTGAACTCTATGCCCTTCATTGCTGCAGCAATGACACAGTTTTCCCAATGGGAATGTAATGGGTTCATAAAATGAAAAAGTGTTGTGTTAAACTGCTGACTATCAGCAGTGCTGAGAGAGAGGTTTGTGTGGGTTAGATCAAAATGGCAAAATTAGGTGTACTCTTAGTCAAGATAAGACATTTTAACCCATTTGTTTGTGCACCAGGGCAATATTCTTTTGTTGTTGTGTTTATCACATGTACAACTTTTGACAAGAACCAAGTAAGGAGACTACTTCACCCATGTTTTGACCACTCTTGATTTAAAAAAAAAAAAATGGAAATGGTTTATGATTTGGCCCCAGGAAAACGAGAACCCCCCAATGGGGCAAAATACTGGAATGTGCATGAGTCTATTGTTTATTATCATGCAAAGCACAGTGAATTGCTTTTGTATGAAATGGTGCTATACAAATCCAGTTTTAATTGAGCTGAACTGAATATGTAGAATAACCAAGACTATTACATCATTTCTGTGTGTTAGTGCCTGCGCCGCTTTCTAATCAGTGAAGCTAGATTGGATGAGGTGACAAGCGTAATGAGTGGCAATCGTCCCACCCGGGTTAGATAATCCAGTCTGGGACCAAGCTGTGACCTCAGGCTGACGTGCCGCTCCGGCCCAGCCCATCCGGCGATGCACTGCCGCTGTCTGCCCTGCAGTCTCACACAGAGACAACAATATTCCCACTCGACAAGGACTAGCAGCCTACCCGCCTGGTTACCCACAGCCCACGTATGCTTTGTATTACAAACAGACCTACTGCCGACCGACTGCGGCAAGGTGAGTGTGTTTCATTTGGATTTTAGTGGGGTTATTCGGGCTGGATGAGAACAGACGGAGGAAAAAAAACGCTTCAGCTGGGCAGCATAGCTTCGCAGGCTGAAAAAATGATGCCTCGCTCGGTCACAACGGGAAAGACGCAGCCTCGGCTTTCAAACGATATTTTCCGCTCCCAGGTGCCTTGTCGTCTTAAAACAGCTGTTTTTCGTTAAACGTTGTAAAAGGAAGATGGTGCTAACTTGGTTGGTGGCGTTGTGAATTTTTTTAATTTATTTTTTATTGCGGTGGCACAAAGGCAGCGAAGCGGAGGGTAACGGGTTGACACACCGTCGGTGTTTCATCGTGTATATGCGGGTTAAAAGGCCGTGGGCACGGGATGAAAATACACAATTAGACAATAATAAACAGTCACTATTTGTTTATGAGGAACTGAAATGGTGTAACGTTGCCACACCAGGGGCCTGCACCCTTATGTTATCACCATATTGACCCGATATTGCTAGAAACAACAGCGGCACACAACCAGGGTCAAATTCAACAGAATAAAGAAATGTAACTTCCGCTGAAATTTAGGAAAATAAGAGCCTGACCTCGTTGGGTAATGCTTGAACAATTACTTGAGGGTTGAGAAAGACAACAATATTAAAATGAATCAATCAATAAACGTATTGATTCGGCACATATATAGATTATAATGTATAGATTTTGTATAACTACAGATAAGAGTTGATTGGACTATTTTGAAGTGATTGCATTTGTTTCCAGTGCACACACCCAGGCTTTTATTGTGAAGGCAGCCTGGCTGTACTTCCTGATGTATTCTGGTCCACAGTGTGTGGTGGTTGGTGTCTTGAGGTGCATTACATGCAGTATGGTGTGGATGGATGCAGATTGGCCTAAAAAGCAATAATACCCTCGTGTTCCTGCTGCAGCATTAACCTGTAAGTATTGCTTCTCAGTTCGAGGGGAGGGGAGCAAAGACTTCAATACATGGTTATCCTCCTGACATGTTAACTGCAGATAGATAGGGAGCTATGGGGAAATTTATATTAAAGATGCTTTTTGTTATTAGGTTTACTATTAATGGCAGTAGCAGTGGCTGCAGTAACAGTTGCAAGTAAAAGTTTTCGGCAACAGCAGCAGAAGTTGTTGGAAGTTGGTTGAGAGACAGTACAAAATATACTGATACAATTCTAGCGTAAAACCATAATGATTTCCTTTAGAGGTAAACTAACATGAAACTCACATGAAACATGTCTGATACATGTCCTGTAGAGGCGACACCACAATAGCTACTCTTTTATGTCTGCAAAAACCTTTTACACATCCTTCCATTCAATCAAGCAGAACTCACTAAAGAGAGAATGAGATCAAGGGAGAATTGAAGATTAGCAGGCTTAAAGTGACGTTTAAGGTCACAATATTACCCCAAATCAGCACCAGGCCCAACGTGTGTCGTGTGTGTAGAAGTAAAAAGTCACACAGGGATTTATTCTGTAACTTAAGGACAAGGATGTGTCAGCAGAACTGCAGTTATCAGAACAGTATAGCTTTCCTAAGCAATACACAGATGTGTTTGTTAGGGTTCCTCTTGGTTAGCTGACACCTCTGTCACTAAATCTGTGCAGGGCAGTCTTAAATCAGTCCAGATACTGACTTCCTGGTCTTCTGACTATTCCAGAAATAAATAAATCAACAGTAGGTGGAAGGGCCTTCTCTTTCCAAGCATTTCTTCTTTGGAATCATCTTTCTACCTAAATTTGAGAGGCTTGCCTTCAACCTCACTTAACCTGCCCTAAATACTAAGTATGGTCATCCAACTTGTATGTGTGTATGGGTGTGTGTATTTGTATGTGCTCCTTGTATTTGTGTTGCCTCGCTAATTGACGTTTTGTATATTCTTTGCTAATGCTGCTCATTGACCCGACTCTTATTGTTGCTTGGATTTTGCGTGTAATGCTTTATGTGGAGTTTATCTCACCTCTCTACAATTTAGTGTGTTTTTGATAATGTTTTCTTTTATTATACGTACAGCCCTTTGAGGCGTGCTTTGTGATATTGGGCTGTAATAAACCTGACCTGACTTGTAGTCCTCAAACCTGAAGCTAGTCATGTACAATTGAAGTTGTTACTTTGACCAGCCTGATTGTTAGCGGCAGCAATCGACAGCGTAGAAAATTCTGCCTCCTTTTTAAATCTGAAGTTAACTGTACAGCCTTGATCTTCTGTAACCTGAAAACTATTAGTTAATTAATTGTTTGCTTGATAGACATAAATAAATGAATTCATTTTTTTTTCATTAAATGTTCATAATTGATTAATTGTTTTTGTATTTTGTAAGCAAAAATGGCAAATGTTTTCTGATTCCAGCTTCTTAAATGTGAGAATGTTCTGATTTTCTCGTTGTTATATGAATTCTAAATTGAATATCTTAAGGTTTTGGACTGTTGGTTGGACAAAAAAAGCAAATTGAAGGCTTACTCTGACTATTTTGGGACATTTTGTAAACCAAAGGAAGTGATTACGTGACATAATAATCAATAATGAAAATAGTTGTTCTACTATGGACTACTTTGACTTCTATAATATACTATTAATTTGATTTATCTGACCATTTAGTGAAAATTAAAGAAAATCAATTTCAAAATTGCCTGTAGCTCAAGTTTTTTTTCAGATTGCATGTGTCGTCTAACTGTCGAAAACCCAGTGGCCAAATCTTTACAACTAAGAATCTGGAGCCAGTGATGTTTGTAATTTTACTTGATACATGACTGTAATTGTTGACGGGAAGTCTTCATTCATAGTGAATGTCATTTACAGCAGCAGTGTCTTTGCACAGTATTGAGTTCTCTAATGAGATCAAGGCTTGATCTGTCTCTAGTCAGTGTGAGAAGGGACCTGTGGGTATTGGGCCTAACCATCATGGCATTACCAGTTTAAAGCCTCAGCATTGTGGTCATGCACATGTTTTCAAATCACAACTGATTGAGTGTGTCAGGCAACGTGTCCGTTCTCAGTGCTCAGCTGCTCTTCCTGATCTTGGAATGTGTCTCTCAGTGTTACATAACCTAGAGCCTGCAGAGGCCGGATGTGCATAGTTTCTCTGTGTGTTTTCGTGTGTGTGTTTGATATGTGTTAGTGTGTATTGTGTTTTGATCTTTGTTGTGAGTATCACTGATTTATAAAAGCCCTGCATGCAGATATCATAATTCACGCAGGTCCTATTATCCTATTATTATGTTATTCAGTTTCCCTTAATAGACTTTTTCAACCCTATGTTATCTGCAGCTATACACGCAGTGAAAAAAGTGTCACTTTATTGGTTTGGTTGGCTTGTTTTGAAGGTTGTCCAATGTTGAAGGATTACATTTCAACAATATAATTATATTGAGAACTTTTCAAGGCATGCCAACATCCCGAAAGCCTTTTTTTTTTTTGTTCTAGAGCTCTTTTAAAAAAAAAAAAAAAGAAAAATGATAAGGAATCAAGCACACCAGTTTTTGCTTGTCTAACTCCTGTTCCCATTGATGCCATTGATACTATAAATATCTGCAACTATGACATTTTAAAAAGTGTCTCACTAAATTCAAATTATTTGCAGGTTAAAATATTTATTTAGAAGGGAACATTTATCTTAATGTAAGTTTATGACAATAATTGCTGCCATAATCTCTAATCCATTGTGTTTCAAAGTGAGAAGGTTGCTGGTTCATCTCTTTCGTTAGTAGTATTTCAGCTCCTGTGTTTAAGTTGAAACGGTACTCTCCCCACTTCGGAAGTGCTGAGAAAGGGCACAAATCCCAGCGAATTTTCTCCGTTGCAAATGTCTCTGCAGAAACTCGTGTTGACTGTGCAAAACATTAATCGTAAGACTGGTCATGAACCGACTTTAAAAGAAAATGGACTTTTATATGACAGTGCGGTGGATTCAAAAGAGTTGTTTTAAAGCCTGCGTGTCAGACAGTTCTCTCAAACACTTGAACCTTACGTAAACTCTCCCAGTCAAAGAAACCACTGATATTAGTCATACGACAGTGTGTCTTCACAGCCAGCTGAGCCCACGTGTAGCCTCTGCAGGGCTTTGGTGGTTTGACCTCGTCACAAACCTCCGTGTGATGTTGATGCAACATTTGTGTGAAAGTATTGCCACGGTTCTCAGTGTTCCTCAGGGAACTGATCAGGGTCCTTTTCTGTTTCCAGTTCGAAGAAAGACTTGATTTCTTGAAATAATTTAGCTTTCAAGGGCAGCAGTGTCAAAGTAAAAAACACATTTATTCATGTACTGTTACACTTTGTTACTTCTACTTCATATGAATGTAATAAACCTATGCATCGGTCTAGCTACACGTAATGAAGGGTCTGTATCAAGATTGTTTGTTTATGCATTTTTGTTGTTTTTTGTTTGTTTCTTTGAAAACACTATTTGCTTATATTTTGCAATCAGGTTTATGAATCTATTATATGTTTAATATTGTATGTGTGATAATAATGCAATAATACATACAATGTAACTCAAATGGTTATATACATGACAAATACTTATTTTT